GTGAGGCCAGTCACTCAAGCTATATTTTTATAACATCAAGTGATGCTTTCTTCTCAACTTGAAAAAAGTCCCATGGGCTTCTATTTAAGAAATGAAAAAAAGATGAAACAGGAGGTCTTTCCTCTGTCCTTTCTTTCTCTTTTCCTGTTTTAGATCTCCGTAAGAAACAACTTTCACACCTCTACACCTCTAGCATCCCTTGCCTATCTTTGCAGAGTTGGGCGGAGCTGACTATGTGGAGCTCACTGGTCACTCTTACGTTGCTAGCTGATCTTCTTCAAGCTCTTAAAGTAGGTGACCCTCTTGGCAATGTCTTTCCATTGGTATATTCATTTTAGTTTTGGGTTCAGTGAGCCCCCTTTGATTTGTCATACCCCGCCGCTGACCACATGTCTTCAGTGTTCTGTGTTTTGCTGCTCTCATTGGTCTTGCTTCTTCCAGACCTAATTTTCCCCACTGTGTTCTGTAATTCTCACAGCATTAACTTTTACACCTCAGCAAAAATAGCCGCCAGACCCTTGACTCTAGCCTTGATCTCTCTCTTAATTTCAGGTACAGATTTTAAGTTTCTTTTATATTTCTCTGCTTTCTGTCATTGAACTTTAAATGTCATTTTCTTTCTTCATCGAGACTTTAAATTTTAAACCTCCCATCTATATGTAATCATACATGCTAGAACTTTCACTGTATCTTTAATTCCATGTTTGTCCATTCCTTACTCCTAAAAATAAAAGAATATAGAATTAATAAATCTTGTCAAATCTATCTTAAAGTTTTCTAAAATCTTTCTTTGTTTTTATGCTAACGAATTTTTCCTAGAATTTAAAGGAAAGGATGAGGCTAATGGTATATGTTCGGTATGCCCTCTTATCTGGCATTTCACTTTTCTTTTTCTTTTTAAGTCTTAGTCAACCATGATTAGAAAATAGTAAATGACAAATTTGGGAAATAAACAAATCGTGAGTTTTAAATCATGCCCTGTTCTGAATAGTGTGATTAAATCTCTTTTCATCCTGCTTTGTCCTGAGTAAGATATGAATCCTTTATTTGCCCAGCATATTTACACCTTGTCTTCTACCTCATTTTGTTACTTATTAACCATGCCACTTATCAGATTGATTATTGTGATGCTGTTGGTAACCCTTATTTTTCTTGATAATGGACAAAGTTCAATATGTTGTCGCTGGAAATTAATATATGTCAGAAAAAGCTTTGCAAGTGAAAGATAAAAATTTTCATCAAGGAAAGAAAAGCAATATTTTCATTGTAAAGGCTTAGTTCCTCAAACAAAATGTCAAATTCACCTATGGCATTCTTCAGAAAATCTTGTCCTCAGTTCCTTATCTGTTTTCTTTTGGAGGGGGATTGGATTATTTAAAAACTCAAGAATTATTTAATAATTCTTTTTGTGTGCTACTTCTCATTCTTCAAAACTAATAAGTTAATTTTCCTCAACTTTTTTTCACTTGTTACTGAAAATTTTGCCAAGGAAGGTATAATTTAAAGGCCAGCTCTCTCGTGTCATTTGGACGTGTATCTACACCTAGAAAAACAATTACTTACAGAGTAAGAAAATAAACAGCAAGTCTTAAGAGGATTCTTATAAACTGAGCCTTCCAAGGCTCTCAAGTAACAATGGCCAGTGATGGAACCTAATTATAAGTGCCTCCTCTAAGAAGTTTGCTGTCACTTAACACATTCTTTTAAATGTGCTTATTTTGAGTCATCATGAATGGAAATTTATATATATGCATTAACTATAAAGCAATCAAGAAATACTTTTGGAATTCAATATAGCACTTAAATAACACTGAGAGGAAAAGTTAAATTTCTTTTTAAAAGAAGAAATTGAATATAAAAAGTGACATTTGTATTTGATATCTGCTCATCAAAGGGCTGGAACATTCAAAGTAAAACGGCATACATTTGGCTAACTGATGAAAGTTTTTCATAGATCAGCACAGTTCACAGAAATTTGGTTCTGGTATCTGGTCCTGCCCCTGTCATTAGGCTACTAGTCTAACTCTCCCCAAAGCAGGTATGGTTCTGGAACAAATTTAAAATCTGGTCTGGTTTCCTAAGATCTTTGAAATCTGGTCTGGTTTCCTAAGATCTTTGAATCATTTATTTTTCTCCTGAAAATGTTTCAAACCCAATGTAGTCTAAAAATAAAATTCTATAAAAATAATATCCTATAACAGTGGTGGTAAACCTAAGGCATTTTTTTTATCATTGAAAGTTCTAAAATTTTTGCCTAAAACCGTTGTTCTATAAAAATAAGATCCTGTAAAATAATATGCTATTCTCAACTGTGGTCCTACTTTACCTAAAAGTTACCTGTTTTGGAAGACATAACTGAATCAATATATGAATATAAAAGAGATACTTTGTTTCTTTTTGTGATCTTCTTATAGCAGTGGTCCCTAGTCACCTAAACACATTAACAACAATAAAGTAAAACAAATGACATATTCATTTGTGAATGCTAGAATTTGAAGTCGTTGGAAATCACTGTGAAATACAGATAATCCTTGTTTAATTGACTACCTGTTGACAATTGTTTGGACTTGCAACCAAGGCATACTGGTTAGACTATCATCTTGTTTGTAGATTCTAAATGTCTTTTTTATATCTTGTTTATGCATCTGCTGGTTGTACTGTAAATTGCTGTAGTTTTATGGTCTGTTGTACATTATTGCATATAAGAAATATGCAAATAACAGCACAGTCCTAAGTTGGATATTTCTTCGACATGTTTTGTTCTAAATATTGTAATGTACATACTATGTACAATTCCTCATTTAGTGACCAATTCACTTAAGGATCTAAGTGCAGAAACTTAATTTGGTTGTTAAATAAGGAATGTGTATATTTATGTACAATGAGTTCATACTAACGCAAAAGTAGTGATTTGGGAAAAATCAAAAGAAGTTATTAGAGTTAAACAAAATGATCATGCAAAGGTAACTGCCTCATAGTTTGTCTCAGATGGACATTGTGGAAAGATGACACATAAACTTGTTGCATACTTGTACCAGTTGGAAAAAGGATAGTGGATCTTCTGAATGATTAGGTTTTGGAATTTAAGACAGGTATTTGGAGTACATGAGATAAAAGATCTGAAACAGCCAGTTATGTATTTAGTTTCCAGCATTGTGGGAAGCTACAATATGGCTTTAGAAAATACAATACAGTATATAAAATTTGAAAATGCTTTTCTTGTATTTTCAAACAGTGCCTCTTTTTGGGAAAGAAACAATGACTATGCCTTATTTCAAGGTTTATCCCAAAATTTCATGTACCAAATGAAAAAAGCCTTTGAGCAGTCAAGGCTTTCTGTTCAAGTTTCTTGTTTTTTATAAGGGCTTTAGCATTACTTGACTAGAAAGATTTAATAGCCTGAAGTTACTTATCACACCAAGAATTCAATTGTTTTAAAGAATTTTCTGCAAAAGTAAATGGGAGCCTCTCTTCTTTCTGAAGATGTTGTGACTCATTGATGAATCAGACTTTGGTTTATACTAGAGAGCAACCACGTGGGCTCTAGTAAGGGTACCACTGTTAGCAATGGTAATGATTAGGGTTATCTTATCTACACACCGCTGAAAATAGGAGACAAATACATGAAAACAGACAAGACAGGAAACAAATTTGGGGCTCCTGAAATGTAAGTGAACAGCAAAAGGAATACTGAATCTTGGGCAAAGTCATATTTACACTGATAAAGTTCTATACATGTGTGAACTCATAAATATAATTATGCCACAAAGACTTCAGATGAAACAAGGGAGTGAATCCAGAAGTGGAAATATTTCAGGAAAGCCACCAAAAGACTCACAAACAGTACATCCTCACAGTTGGGTTCTGTCCCATTGGATATTTGTCTTGACTATTCAAAATAGAAAAATTAAACCTCAGTTCAAGTTTGTCCACTGAAACTAGCCTCACCCATATGCTGATATGTGTTGCAGAACTCTGAGTAAACTTTCCTTTTCTTTCTTAATGATTGTATGAGAAACAGTTGTTTCTTCTCCATTATGTAGGCACAAAAATGATGTAAATCTTATTTCAATATCTCATATGAGCTAAAAGCAGAGATGGTCTTTGTTATTTCTGCCTTCCACAAAATTTGATTGTTCTAATTTTGTTTTAACCAGTGTCTGGGTTTGAAATGAGTCACCAATCTAAAGTACAAAATAGAGAAACCCAGGAGCAATAGATGGAAAGAGGCACACAAAGGGCCCTAAATTGAATTCTTTCTGTATGGACACTGTGTCTTTGCAAATGTTCTCTATTAGAGCTAGAATAAGTCTCTATTGATTTATGTTTGTATTTTGATTTCTGCAACTGATTTTAAGTTTTTCTCAGGAGAAAAGAGTGTTTTTGCATTAGAGTGGCAATGAAAATTATCAAAGTAACCAAGATTTGGAAATCTGAAGCGCTCTTTCTGTTTCTTCTATAAATTTTTCATTAGTCATCATGTGAAAATAAATATTTTAGAATACTTCTTAGATGAAATCTTTGTCTTGACATATAAGAAATTGTTAATTCTTGAATTAGCAATATTTCAGCTGATTTAAATACTACTACCTATCTATACATTTGCACACAATTTTCAAAAAAGTTTAGTCTAGTTTTCTTACAGTTTTACAACATAAAATGGGACAAACTGAGCAGTGGTATCATAGTATTATTTGAAACATCAATTTTTAATGTAAGTCAATAATGCTGAATACGGTGACATTCTGGATGTAAATCATAATAAGCTATGAAAAAATCAAAAAAGGTCAAACTCACTTAGCTTGAATGTATTTATTGATTTTATAAGTAAACTTTAAAAATGTGCTGCAATCTTACTGTAATACTCAAAGAAATTTAAGACTTCTATGGGATTAAAATTTAATTAAATTTCTGTAGATCATAAATAAATTTTTTTGTTAAAAGTAGACAAAATTTAATATTTAAGTTAACTAACTAACTTCTTAATTATTGATTTGTAGATATTCACTTTGGATCATTTCTGAGGCTGAATTCAGGACAATCCCAAGGTAAGCTGTCCACATCTGCATGTATACATGTTAATTTTAAGAGATAAAATATGTAACAAAACATGTATGTAATGGAATATTCAATCATTTTGCTGGTTGCTTAGGACCCATTAATACTCTGGTCCACTCAGTGGTATTATTTCATTTGTAACTTTTTATAGTATTTCTCTATTTAAAAAGATCATCAAAAAAGTATGCTGAATTGCTTGTATCTTCACTGCAAGTAGCTATATAACATAGAGGGCAATTAGGACCAATTTGCCAGTGTGGTGCAACACTCAGTATCACTAATATATTGAGCCCAGTGTAGGCAAGAATGATATGGACACATCATGAAATTATTAATAAGAATGATAGCAAAATGAATACCACTTACTTAATTTTGATATAATTCAGGTACTATACTAAGTACCTAATATACTTTATATCATTTAAGCCTCCAGCAATCATATGTCATAAAATTTTTATCATTTTTTGTCACATCCCAAAAGGAGCATGAGGTATATCTCAGGTTATGTAACAGTAAGTGACACTTTTACATCAGTCCATCTGACACTTAAATTTTAATTTCCTACAACTATGTAAACTATCTGGGAAAGACAGGAGTTCAGTGATATTATGGAAAGACTTTGTATAGAACAAAAGAAGGCCATACTTTCCTGTATGATTACCACTAACAACAGCATGAAAGAGCATATGACAGCACCATGGTAGAGGGAATGAAGTGCATTTGAGGCAAATGTAACAGATTGTTTAATTCGAGTAGACAGAGGTGTGTGAACTTCCTTTGTTGGTAACTGTATGATTACATATGATGGCCACAAAATAGTAGGTTAAAATGAGTTTGTTCCAGATTTGTAACTGATTCTCCATCTCTAATGCTATACCTGCCAAATGTGAGGCTCTGTTGTATACTTTCATAGTTTAGTAAAATGATCCAAAATCTGATTGGGTAACCAATTACAAAACCCACAATGAAATTCTGCCAGTGTGTGAAATGATGTTCAAATCCCAATCTAATCAGAGGGAGGAAAGAGGAAGGTACACGTGTTTTGCCCAGAAACAGAGGCAAAAATGACAAATGTTGACGGTGTAGTAGGTCAGAGGAATAAAAGAGAAGCAAGAGCATATGGTTTTTAAATTTCCTTCCACAAAAAAGGGTGTTTTCAAAAAGGATAAAAATGAGAACAAAAACAGTTTTGTTGGAGAAGATGAGTTTGGTTTCCCTATCTTGCTTTTGAAGTATGGGAGAGACTTAGGACATAGGAAGCTGAATGCAGGAAAGAGCAATGATTGCATCTTAACTCCATGAAAGATTTTATAGGGGTAAATTTCTGTGAAGAAATTAATATAAAAATTGAAGAAACCTAGCTGGTGTTTTATTTTCAGGTTAATTTTAAAAATAGAACAATGCTATCTAAGCTTGAGATTATATGTGAAATCAAACTTGAATAAATGTCTAATATTTTTAAATTTGAAATTTATTAATTTATTGGCAATATAATGTTAATTTTTTAAAAAAAATTATGTAGAATAAAAGATGATCATCAAACCTCTTTAGTAAATTACCTAAAACATAACTCTTACAAACATTTATTTCAATTTGCTACTGATCGTATTCCTTTTCTTTCTTTAATCTGGATTACCATCATTCTGTTAACAATGCTTCTGATAAAAACTTAAAACTCTTACATTTGAGAATCAAAATATTCATCTCTAACCCCCTATGAAATATGTGAATTAGATAGTAAACAAATATAAGAATGGCAACCCTTCTTAGGCTTTAAGTTCATCTTGAGATATGTCTTTCAATAATGCTGAGATCAATAGTAAAGAATAAGCTCTACTTTTTCCTAACATTAGTAAAAAGGTACAGTACATATACAGCATGGTTACAAATTTCTTTCCAACAAACTGATTTTACTTCACTCATAGATGGCATTTCTGAAATATTTTATCAGCACCTAGTAGAGGGTGCATTCTGAGCTAACCATTAAGAAAAACAGATATGGCTCCCTTTTCAAGATGGCCACAAGATAGTAGGTTAAAAGCAGACAAAAAGACAACTTATTACAAAAAAAATGGATGGATCTGCTATGGGAGCTCAAAGAATGTTTTACTCATTCAGACTGACTAGATAGATCAATGCTTCTACATATCATCAGCAAGTATATGCATCTTTAGTTCATGGACCTTTAAAAGAAGCTATAATTTCTAACTGGAAATGATGTTTCATATGATGCCATCAGTATCTCATTGTATTTCAGAAAGTGGGAATTTAAAATGTGAAACTTATGGCCTTTTGTTCTTAACTACCAGAAACCATCAAGAGTGGTACTTGTTAAAGTATTAAGAAGTTGAATAAAAAAGCTATTTTTTCTGATAGTTTTACTTAAGATAATGAAATACTTATTGCACAGGCAATGACATGAGTCACTTCAGTTTCTGCAAATAAATGAGGATAGGTTTAAAAATTATATTAGGGGTCTCCTTTCTGACAAATGGAAACCTCTGAAAACATGATTGTAAAAAATCCTGTTTAAATCCTTTGCTAATCTGACCAGAAAGGGAAGTGAAGAATTCACAGGAAATAAAAATGAAATGAAATCTGCAGCTGTCAATGAGAACAAAATGCAAAGTTGGGAACAGCAGGTAAATCTAAAGCCACCACCCTATGTTGAACCTGATAGCAAAATGTTTTAAAGTCAGGATCTGGGCAACATCTCAGGATCAATGCTGGCATCTCTAAGAAACAAAGCTACTGCCAAGTGGCACAAGAAAAACTACTTACCTAGATCCTACCATTACCTGGTTCACACAAATCTGCCCCTAGGATTAAAAAATGCAAATTAGCATTGACTTAACATTGGTTGCAGAGTTCACCTCTGTGGTCCTAGTATAGGCAGCTAGGTTAGACAGAAATGAATATACAATCAGAGAGGAAGTGGCCTAGCAAAGAAGTCAGCACAAAAATAAAGACCTCAGAATTTTGGCTGGAGACACATCTGAAGAAAGCCAGGCCCTCATGCTTCCCTAAGGGATAAACAATAACTGGAATTATACTGTAATTGGCACCTGAAAATGCAAATGTCTTTGTTATTTCCACTCATGCTCGCTATGTGATTTGTTTCCCTATTAAATCAGTATAAGTTAAGTGGTTATACTTGTAAACATATAGGTTGATTGCAGTTTGAACTACATTGTGACTTTGCTGTATAAATTATTTAGATAAAATTCTTCTAACTTCTTCCTTTGGTTTGTGACTTCATTTCTCAATGTTGCAGACCACAAACAGCACATTTTTCATCTAACAAGTTTGGAATTATATTTCCCCTATATTAGTCCAACAATCCTCATCCAGTAATTTAGAATGGTTCCAGGTGCACAGTCACTGGGAAGAAACAAAATAAATCCTTTGCGGGGTCAATCCAAGTTTAAAGTATTTCAAAGATAGAGTTCTAAAGAAATGCAATAATAGTTTAAAATTATAAACTATAAGGAGAAAATGCATGAGAAAAGCCAACATAATATGACACAAATAGAGATACACAGAGATTTCAGATACTGGAATTACCCGATGCAGAAAAAAATATGTTTAATTTTCTATTTGCATTTTACAAATTATCAAAGATATATTATCTTAAATATAGGTATTATCTAAATCAGACAACAAAGATTGGACAAAGATTGAGAATCTTCACAGTTCTGTAGGTTGGCGGCTGAGTATAAGCATCACCCAGTTTAAGGCAAATGTGTTGTTAGGCTGTGCTCTTTTGTAGAGACTCAGGGAAGAACTGGTTTCTTGCCCTTTCAGATTGTTGGGCAGAATTAATTTTCTTATTGTTGTAGGATTGAACACCTTGCTCACCTGCTCCTACGAAGTGAAGATGGCTCTCAATTTCTAAAGGCTACTTGGGTTTATGGCTGCTTCTTCATTTTCAAAGCTAGCAAACACAGCTTCAGTTTCATTTATACAACATCTCTAATCTTTTTAGTCCACACTGGCAGTGTTTATGCTGATATAAGAGTCTTATGAACTCCACCAGTCTCTCAAAATGTAGATAAGAAACAAATTATTTTATTGGACAAGAGTTATGTCCACAGATTTCTTCAAGATGACTTCTTTTCCATTTTTGATTCTGCTGAAATTATTGAAAGGATCCATGAGGTAGAAGACTGAATTGTATATTGCTAGTAATATTATACATGTAAGCATTAGAAACTGTCTAGTCTTCAGAAATAGAAGTCTAAGGAAAGTAAATCAGGATAAATTCAAAGAAATTTACATCCAGAAACATCAAAATTAAACTGAAGAACACTAACAACAGAAAGAAGTATGAGGAGTAGCTTGAGAAACATTGCAGGACCCTGCTAAAGAAAAGGCAATTAGATCAATGGATGACTTACAAATAGCAACAATGGAAGCCAGAGACAACGCTATGTGGAAATCTCTCTAGAAGATTCCATCACTCTGTGAATAACTTTTGTCTCCGACTCACTTCCATCTTTTAGTAGCATATTACTGTGAAGATCTTATTTGTAAAGTTTCTTTATGCTTTAAATAAAGCCTGATATTGCTTATAACTAATAAATATAAGTGTAAACACATGCAGTAATGAATTATGTACTTGTTGGATAAATATTTAACATCAGCTCATTGTGATAACTTTATAAACTAGGTTCTACCAGGCCAATAGAATTATATCAAAAACCAGCCCCTCCATTAAATTTTCTATTTATATAAATCTTTCATAAATTAGAAAATATAGGTATACTTAGGAATAAAATAAACTCATTTATAAATCAAAAGATTTATACCTTATAACCTATAATTTATACAATTTTTCAACAATTCCATGAACAGCCCTAAATACTAAAATTTACTCATGACTTGGTGGCTATCATCAACCAACAGTAATTTCTTTTTTTCTTTTCCTTTTTCTCTTTTTTTGGCAGTGTTTGGAATAATTGGGGCCCAGGGCTTTGTGCATGGTAGGTAG